ACCTCTAAAATTAGCTTTACATCGTGGGATTTTCCTTTTGAGCATTTGTAAATGGTGTATGCGCACGTGTTCAGTGCTTCTGTGTGGAAATGTGGGAGGTTCTTGAAGGGCGGTTTGCCCATGTGACTCTTTGACATTGGTTATTTGTTCTAGGTGCATTGGCTCTGTTTTTATAGATGAGACCACCATATACTTGGTGCTTCTCCTTCTATCCTGTAGCTCTTTTCTTACCTCCCCACGCTGGCTAGCTTGCCAGGTGTGATATCAAATGCAAGTAATTGAGAGCCACTGCCCCAATTCCTTGTTTCAGTGGAAGCCTCTGAAGTTCTCCCGTTAAGTGTGCTGTGAGCTGTAGGCTTCCTGGGGCTTTCCTTTGTCAATATGAGGAAGTTCCTGGCTTCTCCTTTATAAAGATTTTCACCGCAGGTAAGAGCTACATTTCATTGTTTCCTTTATCAGTACTAATTGCTGCTATTTTCTTCCTTATCTCAGTATAGCATTGATATTTCAGTACTGAGCTAGCAGCATATTCTCAGATTAGATTTCATTTGGTAGGAAATGCAATTCATTTATATGTTGGAAATTGCTCGCATCTTGGTAAGGATTCTTGCCATCTCTTTTCATTTTCATTGCATGTTTATGGCGTGTGTATGTGTGTGTGTGTGTGTACTGCACACACCTGTGTGTGTGCATGTGGAGATCAATGTGTCTATCCTCTATTGCTTTCCATTTTGATATTTATGTTTTTAAAAAGTAAATTATCAATTTCATTATTTTATCTTCAATTCCTCCCCTAACCCTCTCACCACTATTTCCTTTTTTTTTTTTTTGTATTGTTTTAAATGTGCTGAGTCCGGTGCAGCTGGCATGTGTATGGGGGTGGGGCTGTCTCTGAAACATGGGTAGTCTTCAGTCCACATCTCTGAAGAAAATTGACTCTTGCTCCTCAGCAGCCATTAAGTGCCAACAGTCCCTCAGGCTAAGGGTGGGACTTAGGCCCCTCTTCCATCCATGCTGGGATTTGGGGTGGCTTGATCTGTCTAGGTCTTGTGTATGCAGTCATAGCCCCTGTGTGTCCATGTGTGTAACACCTTCTCATGTTCAGAAAACACGATTTCTCTGCCGTCTTCCACTCCCTTTGGTTCTGCTGTCTTTCTGCCTCCTCTTGATGATCACCCCCAACTTGAGAGGAAGAGGGGTGATATAGTTGTCTCATTTAGGGCCGAGAATTTTGCAGTCTCTTAGTCTTGCATGCTGACCAGTTATGAATCTCTGCAATAATAACCATATGCTGGAAAGACAGGCTTCTGGGGTGAAGGCTGAGAGATGCAGTAATCTATGAGTATGAAGATAAGTACTTAGGGGGCAGTTTAATTCTATTTTCATTTAGCAAATATCAATAAGTTCTACCCTAGAGACTGTGATCTATTAGTCACAGATTCTTGGCCTACTTAATGGTACCAGATATGAGTTTTGTCTTGTGAAGCAGGACTCCACTCCAAGCCAAAAAAAAAAAAAAAAAAAAAAAAGGGGTTGGTTACTCCCAGGACATTCATGCCACTCTTGAACCAGTGGGCATGTCTTGCCAGGCCAGTCATCATTGTATCTTTCAGGACTCAAAGCTGGGTAAGATTGTCTTTCTCCCCTGGCAGCATGGAGGATGAAGCTTTCATTTCAGAAATGTATTGATTTCTCCATGTTCTGTGACTCAAGTGTGTGCAGTCTTCAGCAATGGGGTGCCACCATCAAGTTCTGGAGGCTAACCAAAAACAAGAGCATTAGCCTATAATGCTCTTGGGGGCATCTATGGAACCTCATTGTCCCCAAAAGGAGGTATCCTAGAGCTGGCAATGGGCTTTTTATTGGACAGCCTATGATGTATTTTCTCCTTGTTATGGGGAACTCCCTTTAACCTATTCTTGTATGTGTGGATATTTTAGGAAACTCCTACAGAGTACGGTTCCCTATGGCTTTTTCAAAGGGCTTTCCTGTTAGTTATATCTCCCTAGACTCCCTTGTCTCCTGACCCTCCCCCACCCTTTAATTCTTCCTGCTCCATTATTCTCCTTCCTCCCTTTTGCCACCTGAGTTCTCTCCCTTCGCCCTTGAAATCTACCACCGTGGGCCCTTACCATTTTTGTTTTTACTTCTGCAGATATTTCAGTTTAAATACACATATCTAAAGGTTTGCAGCTAGCATCTCCATAGGAGAGAGAACATATGGCATTTGCCTTTCTGAGTCTCTGTTCCTTCGCTCTGAGTGGTTATTTCCAGCTCCATAGATTTGTCTGAGAAGTTCGTAATTTCATTTTTCTTTACAGCTGAATAGCATTCCATGTGTATCTGTGTGGCATTTCCATCCTCCATTCACTAGTTGACAGGAATCCGGCCTTTCCGTTTCCTGTCTCTTGGGAATGCAGCAACAGTGAGCATGGGTGGGTAAGTGTCTTTGTAGAGAAGAGACCCGGGAGTTGTCTAACTAGATCATATGATAGACCAATTTTTAACATTTTGAGGAACATCCACACTGATTTCCACAGCGGCTGCATTAGTCTGTGCTCCACCAGTTTGTGTTCTAAAGTTTTTATTCTGAGTCAGAATTAGATCTTCTTGTCCACATCTAGCTGCTTGGGAGGCTGGAAAACCCTGGCAGCCAAAAATCTTGATGAAAATAATGCTAACAGCGGAGCAGGTGTAACGGGCCAATCAAATGACCACCGACTGCCAAAATTACCCCTTGCAGCCACCATGCCGTGGCTCAGCTTCCCTTTTGAAGGGTTTCACGATTCCATGCTAGAGGCTGTGTGCCGGTTCCAGCAGCTTTTCTCTCTTCCTTCCCTCTTGTTGGCACCTGTGGCCCTAGTCCACCCAGTTCCCTGGAGGGCGGTATCCCCCTGTCTGACTGCTCCAGTCCTTCAGCCTGCAACTCTGTTTGCTTGTACTGAAGGCAACTGCAGGCAGCATAGCAATGGTCTAAGGCCTCCCTGTGGGTTTGTGGTGATAGTATTGTGGGACTTTCGGGGGGGTGGGGTGGGAGAAGGTTAGCTGTAAAAGAAGGAGTGAATGTGAGCAAGCAGCCCGCCTCTGCGTCAGCAGCTCAAGGAGCCCCCGTTTCCTCCATGCCTCTGGGGTGCCCTTTTTGGTAGCCTTTCCCGTGGCCTTCTGAGTGTGCCGGTATCTTTGTGTTCCCACTTGGCCTGTGCTTTTGGATCTCATGGCTGTAACATTCTTCGGAAGCTCCAAGGTTGGTGCATTGTTCGTTTCTGACCTATCAGTGAATATGGCCCCCAGAGGTTCCTTTCAGCCCAGCCCAGTTGGTGACTGGCAGCTGCCCACCTTCGAGGGCCTCATCTTTGGCTGCATCCCTAGAGGGCTGTAGTGTAGGAAGGGACCTGACGACTCCTTCGTCATGCTCTGCCTTCTGTTCCCTAAGCAAGACGCCTTTCTGTCCCTGAGAGTGGCCTGGGCAGTGTCCTCTTTCTTTGTGATCCAACTTGTAAACAGGTGATCCTGCCTTCTCCAGCCTACCTGTCTATGTCTGGGTCCATCAGCAAGGAGATGCATGGGAACTGGCGTGGGGCTGGTGTGGGTAGGTTTCTACACAACACTAGACCGTGCTTATACATGTGACGTTGGGGCAGGACCCTGGTGGCTTCCTTCCGATGCACAGATTAGCCCTGATCATCCTCCAGTGATGCACCTGGCTTTCTTCCTTTCGCCTAACATAAGCTTGCTTGTATTAGCAGCTTTCCGGGGTTTTCCCAGTATACCCATTGTGCTCCGTATTCATAGGATGAGCTTGCAAATTCAATACTGTCCATTGTGTGCAGTTAGGGCGGAACTCTTACATTACTTCCTGGAATCTTTAGGCTCTCGGAGACTGTGGCTGCCTCTTAGCTATTGCCCTGATAGTCTCTGTGGACACAGAGGCTTAGGTCCTTGAGAAAGTCACCAGGGTTGCAGTTGCCTATAGTCAGAGACCATAGGCCATGGTCCACGACAGACTCAGAGATTGGCAGAGAAGGAATGCACCCCATGACATGACTGCTGAAGCTTCCCAGAAGGAGGATGGCCAGGACACTGGGCCAGACAGGATGAGTCGAGCATGGGGGGGAGGGGGTCTGCGGAAAAGCCTGCAGCCAGTCAGAGCAGGGATTGAGCCTCCTCCCTCAACCTTGTCTTCCACAGTCAATAGATTGTTCTTCCCCATTCTTGTGATTTAAAGATCATTTTTGGCCTTCCTTTGCAAGGCAACATGGGACAGGGCATGAGAGGCCTGAGCGAAAAGGGGGGCCCTTCCACTTCAGATCCAGCACACAGCAGCACAGGCCTGGCAGGTCAGAACAAACTGGGGCTGAGATCAGGGAAGGTCACATCTGGAAGATGAGAGACAGAGGCCAGCTCGCAGACAGGAATCTGAAGCCAGGGAGGGTGCCGGTGGGTTCACCAGGGTGCTTCGTCCCTTCAAAACAAACCATATGCTTTTTCTTTTCTCTTGGGGAAAGAAAGAAAATGTTTACCCTACACAGATAAGGAGGCATGAGAAGACAATGGCCAAGAGAAGGGGGTCAGCTTGTCCCTGAGGCTGTATCTTCCTGTAACAAGGGGTCAGACTCAATATAGACCAGTCTTAAGGACTATTTCTGGATCTTGTTGGACCAGTAGAGGGAAGGGAGGGGGACCTAGCAGGCCCTTGGTTAAGAGACAGACAGTGCTCAGAGTATAGGCTGGAGGAGGTCTGTAAGCATGTCTGTGAGGTAAGGCCCACCTATGCTGGGTTAGGCTTCTGGAGCCAATTGCTTGCTCAGCGGTAATCCATGTTTGAGTATCAGTCCATGGGGCTCCAGGGTCTGGGCAGTGCCTGCAGGCCTGGGCATGTGCTGGCTTATCTGAGGCAGGGTCTGTAGACCCCCACCACCACCCCCTAACAGCGTCTCTCCTGGGCCAGCAGGAATGGGGGATGTCCTTGCTGTCTAACAAATGATGTTTCTCCTACTCAGGAGCGGCTGCTTATGAGCCTCTTGCCCCGGAATGTCGCCATGGAGATGAAGGAAGACTTCCTGAAGCCCCCTGAGAGGATTTTCCACAAGATTTACATCCAGAGGCACGACAACGTGAGGTAGGGATGGCACGCTGTACTGGGAGGGTGATAAGGTGTGTTTGGGGAGGGATAGAGGAGCTGGGAAGTGGATGAAGAGGTGGGGAGGAAGGGGGGAGGGCAGAGGCACTAGAATATCTCTGTAGTTTAGGGGGAGAGAAGCGGTATGGTGGAGAAGCGATGGGTGGGTGTCCAGCAAGGAAGCTGGTCCCATGAAGAGGAGGCTGTGGCTTCTTAGGTGGCACATGCCAGTTCTCTTTCACGTTTCTTCTGCCAGTACTCACACTTCCCACGTTGACAGGGAGACAGAACTTTGTCCAAAGAATGGGTTTTTTTTTTTAATTGTGAACTGGGGATTCTCTGTTTCCAAATCATGGTGGAGTGTTTCTCGAGATGGGAGTCTTACCCTTCCCCTTTCTCCTTCTCATCACCCCTAGGAGGTCGGAGGTCTTGTTTGTATTTTACAGGAAAGGAACCCGAGCCTTCCATGTGAACCAGTGTGTGATACGTTGGCTGAAGTTTGCTTGCTTGCTTAGAGAGATTCTGTTGAAGCTGTCTGTCTTAAAGTGTTGTACCGTCTTTTCAACATACTTTGGATGACAGTTTAATGCACTTAGAATGGCTGAGCTGTCACCTGTGTGGGATTGTCACCGTGTGAGTGGCACTCAGGAGATGGGGTGGACACAAAGCACTTTCTCTTCAGTTCCTCTGTGCTCTTCTGGGTTTTGGTGCCCTTGAAGGCACAAAACCATGCTGAAAAACTCTCTTACGTTGGGGAGCACAGGCTGGCTCATCCCAGATTAGTTAAGGCTTGTGAATGCATCAAGGTATGGAGCGCCTGTGGCTAATCAGCTCACAGCTCTTTCTCTGTGCACACCTGTGAATTCTTTCACTCCCTGTTGTAGTGCACACGGCTTCCTAGGGACGAGTGCCTTCCTCCCTCCGCAGAGGAGGATGCTGAAGTGGTGTGCAATGGGGGCCCAGCTGTTTGGAGAGTAGCCACAGAGCCAGCACGTGGACTCTGATGGCCCCAGAATTAGGGCTCAGACGCTCCTTGCTCAGTTCCTGGCTGTTTGCTATCCTCTCCCTCCCGTGAGCAGCTGGCATCACTGCCTGCCTTGTGGGAATCAGGAAATTGAGATTCAGCCATGTGAAACGAATGTGCAGGATGCCCTGGGCAGGGGGTGGAGGGCTGGACGCAGGATTAGCTGCCATTCACATTTGATGTACTTCCCTTATCGCACCTGCTGCTCCTTGTTAGCGGGAAGGGACGTAATCCAGTACCCCAGCTGCTAGCCCTGGAGGCGCGCCGGCCACCAGAGCGTTTCAGCGAGAACCCGGAGGGCGTACTGTAGGAGGGTGTCACAGCTGAGAGCCTTCTGGTAACTCGAGGGAGTAGGCAACATTAGCCTTCTGCTTGCTCAACAGAGCAGAGAGATACACAAATACACAACCTAGCTCTGCAGCCTCCCGTGTCTTAGTTAAGTGTCTATGACTGTGATAAACCCCATGCCCGAAAGCTAGTTGTGGAGGACAGGGTTTGTTTGGCTTACACCTCCACATTGTAATTCATCACTGAAGGAAGTCAGGGCGGGGAGCTGATGCCGAGGCCGTGGAGGGGCGCTGCTTACTGGCCTGCTCCCCATGACTTGCTCAACCTGCTTTCTTAAAGAACCCAAGACCATAACCCAAGAGTGGCTTTACCCATGAAGGGTTGGACCTTCCCCTTTAATCACTAATTAAGAAAATGCCCTACAGGCATGCCTATAGCCCCATCTTATTGGGAGCATTTTCTCAGTTGAGGTTCCCTCCGCTCAGATGGCATTAGCTTGGGTCAAGTTGACATAAAACTGTCTTTTGTTTTTGTTTTATTTAGAAAAACTGTCTTTTTTCATTTTACATACCAATCCCAGTTCCCACTCCCTCCCTTTCTCCCATTCCCTCTACCTTTCCCCCCACTTTACTGCCCCCCCATCCACTCCTCAGAGAGGGTAAGGCACATTGCTTTAAGGAAGGACCAAGGCCCTCTCTACTATATTTAGGCTGAGCAAGGTATTCTTCCAAAGAGAATGGGTTCCAAAAGACAGTACAAGCAGTAGGGATAAATCCTGGTCCCACTGCCAGCGTCCCAAAGTCTGCCCCAACCATACAACTGACACCCACATTCAGAGGGACTAGTTTGGTTTTTTGCTGGTTCCTTCTCTGTCCGGCCAGAGTTGGTGAGCTCCCATTAGCTCAGGTAGACTGTTTCAGTGGGTGTGCCTCCCATCATGGTCTTGACCTCTTTGGTCATATTCTCACTCCTCCCACTTTTAGACTGGACTTTGGGAGCTCAGCCCAGTGCTCTGCTGTGGGTCTCTGCCTTTGCTTCCATCAGTTGCTGGATGAAGGTTCTATGGTGATATTTAGGATAGTCATCAATCTGACTACAGGGCAAGGCCAGTTCAGAAACCCTCTCCACTACTGCTTAGGGTCTTATCTGGGCTCATCCTTGTGGTTTCCTGGGAATTTTCTCTAGTGCCAGGTTTCTTGCTAGCCCCATAATGGCTCCCTCAATCAAGATATCTCTTTCCTTGTTCTCCATCTCTGTCCTTCCCCCATCTTGACTATCCTGTTCCCTCAAGTTTTCCTCCACTCTCCCCTTCTCCTCTCCACACACTGAGAGGGAGAGAATTCACTGGGGTGACCAGTTCCCCAGCTGCTCTGGGACTGCCCAAACAACCAACATCTGCAGTTCAGTCCTGAATTTCCAAAAAGTCTGACATAGTCTTGGTTCGCTGGGAAAACAGAGGTGGAGTTGAGCTGGAGAATACCGCAGCTCTCACGCGTGTGTGCCCTGCTCAGGACAGAGTGGACCGGCGGGACCCACAGCTGCCCACTGGGGACACAGAGAGCTGATAAATGGCCTCAGCGTCTTGACTCGAATAAGTGACGTGGTTGCTCTCTTCTGTGAGACTGTTCTCTAAAGGCTGGGAAAGAAGAGCGCCCCAAACAAAGGAGGAAGGTAGACCTGCAGACACAGATCTGAGAAAATGCACTTACATGGGTTGCTTCACTAGAGAATAAAAATAGCTCTCATGAACATAGAAAAGAATTGTGCATGAGCAAAATGAGAATTTCATCAGGGAAATAGAAGCATCAAGGAGTACAAAGTCAGAAAACGTAAGACCGTAGCGACCGAATATAAAATTCCCTAGAGGAGAATAGGGACTCAGGCAGAAATAAAAGATCGGTGAACTGGAAGACAGGTCCCTGGGAAGTCCCAGGCAGAGGGTCAGAAAGAGAAAAGAGAACGGGAAGGAATGGAGGAAGGTTAAGGGGACTTGAGACGTCAGCATTGGGCACATCATAGGGACTGCCGAAGGAGAGGAGGGGACCAAAGCTTTTGTTGTTCGTTCTTTTTCTTTCTCCCCTCGCTATTTTTAGACAGGGTTTCTCTGTGTAGCCCTGGTTTTCCTTGAAATCAGATTAAAGGTTTGTGTCCACCACCTTCTGGACCATAAAGCTTTTAGAAAATCTTTTCTGATAGACATGTGGAGACAGAACTGGGCTTCCAGAAATAGAAAACATACGTGACACCGAATAACATGAACTTAAAGAAATTTACGTGATAAAATTCTATACGGTTGAGACAAGTGAGAATTTTGAAAACAGCAGCAGAAAGTGCCTTCCTGTGAGTAACAGAATTCCCATCAGGTTGTCCGTGGATCTTTAGGCAGAAACCGTGCAGGGCAGAGAGCGTAAGTGACATATCCCAAATATTTAAAGCACACGACAGAAACTCCATACACCAGAGGTGCTGCACCTGACACATCCTTCTGCAGGCCCCCAGTAACATGTGGTAGGCAGGTAAACATGTGACAACAGGTAAACAAATGTGAAAAATTTAAAAGTCAGAAGTTTTTAAATAACTTAATGGGAAAATAATATACGATTACAAGTACATGTAAACTGTGGTGAGCAGATTATGGAAGAGAAAAGTTAAAAGTCAGAAGTTTTTAAATAACTTAATGGGAAAATAATATACGATACAAATACGTGTAAACTGTGGTGAGCAGATTATGGAAGAGGTGTTAAAATGTACATTTTCTTCTGTGTGACTGAATAGCAGTATGCTATCAAGAAGTTAACCGAAACAAGAAAGAGAAAATAATCACGGCATTCCAATCCAACAAACAGCAGCTGAGCACATAAGAAAATGCAAACAAAAGATCCACAGGCCCAAGAGGCAGTGTGAGCCATAAAGGCAGTGTGAGCCCTTTTCCATCAATATTCTACATGTAGGTGGGGTAAAATCCCCCATCACTCAAAAGACAGAATGGCTGAATGGGAACGTGTGTCAAACAGACACAAGTCAAACCAGTGGCCGAGCAGTCTCACCATACCTCGTGTGCAGGAAGCTTGCTTTATGAGGACGCACCTCCAGCTGGAGGGGAAGAGGTGGAGAAGGGCATCCATGTGAACGAGAACCAGGGGAGAGCAAGGGTGGCCTTGCCCTCATCGGCTCAAGTGCTCTCATGCCAACATGGTCAGAAGAGATGGCATTTCATCATGGTTGAGGAGGCAGTTAACAATGACAGTCATAAAAACACACACCCAACACAAGAACACTGAAATATGCAAAGCAAGCATCCGTAGACCTGAAAGGGGAGTTGTCCATCAAATCAATAGTAATCCACTTTCTCCGATGGTGAGCAGAGCGTTCAGACAGAAGGGTAAAGAGAGAGAGGAAGACGATGTAGACAAAACAGACCGGACCATCCCACTCAGCAGTATAATCTATATTCTTCTCAAGTGCCTGTGGGTTTTTCTCTATCACAGAATACACAAGGTCATGTAAAAAATCCCAATAAATTAAAGAAGAGTAAATCATACTATATTTTCCGATCTAAAAGCACTGGATTCTTTGACTACAAATTATACTGCAAAGCTGTTATGATTGAAACAGTATGGCATGAAAGCAGAAACTTAGACAGGATGGAATAGAATAAGGAATCCAGATGACGTGTACCCAACCTGTCCTCAAGAGTGACAAATGTGAAATAAGGGAAGGGTTATCTTCAGTAGATAATGCTACTGAAAGCCAAACATCCACACACAGAGCAAGGAAATTGGACTTTTATCTGATACCATATACAAAATCAACTAAAATTGATTATAACCTGAAATGTATAAAATCCTAGAAAGAAAAATGGGCTAAGTGCTATGACATTGTTTTTGGCAATGATTTCATAGCAGCAAGAGCAGGAGTAACTGGAATTAGATCCAGCTTGGTGATTCATCAAACTCCGGCAATCACCCAGGAGTGTGTCCTCGGGAGAAACCGCTGGGCATCAAGACTGGGACTCTGTGGCTTCAGCACCTGTCCCCTGCTCCTTCTCCTTAGCTCCACAGCCTCTGAGGCTGAGAATGTGCCCCTTCAAATCTCTGCTGTCAGACTTGTCAGGGTTTGCTGACCTGGGAATTCCCTGGGAAGCCCTCTCGTTGGCCTTTGCCAGCAGCCCTGACTCTGCCCCGCCTCGGCTACAGCCTCAGCCTCTCAGCACTTTTGTTGGAAAGGCCGGGGTGATCCTTCGGCCTTGCTGCGGTGCACTGAGGCAGGCAGCAATGTGACTGGAAACAATGAAAGGGACAGCTGGGCACCGAATGAACATGGGGTCCTGTGCAAAGGTCTAGACACAGATGTGGGAATCTCAGAAGACCAAGCCTATGCAGAATTAGTTCGCAGATTAGAAGAGCATCCATACCAGTTGTAACTGGGGCCCTCAGATGGGGAATGGTGAGACTCATTTCTAGAGTTGCTGTCTTGTGCTCTCAAATATATTGGATATGCTGCAAAAAGAATGTATGGCTCATACATGAGCAAAACAAGCAGTCAGCAGAAACCGGCCCCAAGGAAGCCTAGACACTGAGATTCTTAGACGAGCATCTGAAGTCAGCGATTTTAAATGTGTTCAAGGAACAAACTGTCTGTGCAATTAAAGGAAGCCATGGCGATGTTTCCTCACCAAACAGAGGATACCAATAGTGCAGACTTTTTAAAAATAACCAAATCAAATAGAACTTCTAAATTTAAGACACACAAGTGAAGTGAAAATTTTCTGGAGGGCTTCAGCGGCTGACTTGCGCAGGCAGCGGGAGAACAAGAGAACTTAATGGCAGAGCCAGAAGTGTCAGGCAGCAGGAGGGTGGGGACAATGGAGAAACAGGAAGGGTTTCAGAGCGCTGTGAGGTGCTATCAAGGTTATCAGCACACACGCGTTGAGATTCCCTAGACAAGGGAAGAAGACAGGACCTTTGAGAAAAACAATGACTAAAAATATTCCTTAAAACAACAACAACACCTCCTACACACCATATTCATCTATTTATCCCAGAAACTTGATGTGTTTGAAAGTAGATAAACTCAGAGACCCACACCAAGGCAGATCCTGGTCAAAGTGATGACAGTCAGGGATACAGGCAGAATCTGAAGGCAGCAGGAGAGAAAGGGCTATCTAGAATGGTCTTGAGTGAGGTGATGCCCGGTTTATGGAGATGAGGGCCAGAAGCCCGCAGAAAGGTATGTTCAATGGCTGGAGTAAAAAGGGAAGAATTCTGTGTCCTCCAGGACACGGGAACAGCAGCACTGCCCCTCCACTGGAGCCCCATTCACTCCGTGGCTCCTTAGCGTCCTGCTCTCTTCTTGCCAGGCAAAGCTGGTCCGCTCATAGCTGGCAGTACGGGCTCCTCACCATCTCCTTGTCTCTCTGCACCACAGATAAATGCAATGCCTTGACATATTTCAAATGTCCCCTTCCCCTGGCCAGAAAGATTCCTGAGAGCACAGATACTTATTGGAATCTTCTGTTTATGGTCCATCCCAAGCACCTGTCCAGCCTAGCTAGCCCTTGGTGGGCAGCCGGCAAGTAAATGACACTTCAGATGATGGTGAACGGGTGACCAGGAGGAAACAGCCGTTTTCCAGGCACAGCAGGACTGATTCCCAATTGAACTCAGACTGTGACACCACAGCAAGACCTGCACAGGTTCAAGCCACACAAAATCCCAGCAGGGGGAGGGGAAGTGGACATGAGAGAAAATCAGTTTTCCTCAGTGGAGCGCCCAGCCTCGTGCCTGGAAGTAGTTGGCCAACACAAAATAGACTCCATGTTTTGTTTTGTTTTATTTTTTTTTGATTTTTTTTTTTGTGTGTGTGTGTGTGTGTGTGTGTATGCGTGTATGCATTAGTGCTTGAATTTTTTTTTTAAAAAAAATTGGTTTGGTTTTAGTTTTGGGTTTTGCATTCTTTTTTGTTTTTTAAAGAGAGAGAAGGGCCATGAAGTTAGGTAGATGGGTTGGAGGAGAAGCTTGGAGAGGGGAAAGAATATGATTAAAATATATTGTATGAAAAAATTTAAAAACAGAATAAAAATATTGTACATGGTTATGGACATGTGGACACTCATTTCCGTATCGCAGATGAGAAGTGGGCATGAGGAAGGGCAGACAGTCTCCTCGCTGTAGCTGGTGGAGTGAGGCTGTCCTGCCAGAGCCCAGGGCTAACCCCTGCTCCCCTCTGGTACTGTCCAGCTTGGCTTATCTTTGGCGACACCCTCTGTTGTCCACAAGAATGCTCATTTCTTTTTGTCTGACATTTGTGGCTCCCTCAGAGGGGTGCAGGGGGGTGGAACATCTCGTTTCCTGAAATTATGGGCAAGCTCAGAATACTTGAGCAGCATATTTAAAGACAGACCTTAAAGCTAAACAGTGTTTAAAGACAAACAATATATGATTTTTCATCTTTTATATATTTGCAGAATATGTTTTAGTTTTGAAAGAGAAAATAATAGGAAATACCTTTTAGAATCTTATCTTCTGTAGAAAATTGAACAGATGCAATGTTCTAGAGACTGACCCAAGTTCTGCAATTAATAGACCCCTAATACTTGGGGGGTGTCATGTGGGACTATGACCCTTCAACACCAGTGGTTCTCAACTTTCCAAATGCTGCAACCCTTTGATATATACCCTTTTTCATGTATGGTGGCCCCAACCATAAAATAATTTTCATTGCTACTTCATAACTGTAATTTTGCTACTGTTATGAATCGTAATGTAAATATCCGTATTTCTGATGGTCTTAGGTGAGCCCTGTGAAAGGGCTATTTGACCCCCTCCCTGCCACCACCAAGGAGTCACAATTCACAGGTTAAGAACCACTGCTCTACCCACTGATTTAGGGCTTTGGCTCTGACACTCTGATGGGCACATGCATCCAGGTAGCAGAAGGGGAAGAAGATGGTTGGTGGGAAGGAACCATTCCTTTCTTAAAAGCAAGGCACTCTAATTCCTGCCCCTGATCCCATTGTAGATGCCCATGTGAGCTCCCTGGGAAGGGAGCTGGTCTATTGGGAAGCTAGTAAGAGCTGCCTATGTGGGGTGAGGGATCAGCATGAGGGATAGCAAGCTCAAGTGGCCCAGCAACTAATTCCTCTGTGACCAAGAGGTGTGCCTTGCAGCTGTCCTAAGCCTAGGTCCTCTTGCCTATAAGAGAAAGAAGAAGTGCTGTGGGATAATACTCTTGTACACTATAAAGGTTTGTTATTCATATTGGTTTAATAAAACATAGATTGGCCAGTAGACAGGCAGGAAGTATAGGCAGGGCAACCAGATTAGGAGAATTCTGGGGAGAGGAAAGACACAGTTGGAAGCCACACACAGAGGAAACAAGATGAGAATGCCTTCCTTAGAAAAGGTACCAAGCCATGTGGCTGAACATAGATAAGAATTATGGGTTAATTTAAGTTGTAAGAGCTAGTTAGTAATAAGCCTGAGCAATAGGCCAAACGGTTTATAACTAATATAAACCTCTGCATGTTTATTTGGGAATGAATGACTGTGGGGTCTGGCAGGATAGAAACTTCCATGTACAAGGAAGTCTACAAGTCAGCTTTGAGGGGTAAGCAAGGGTATAGATGGAAAAGGCTATGCAACTCTTAGCTCATGATTTCCTAAGTGACGAAGAAGAGGTGACCTCGATCCCCTTCTTCTTGCAGCATCCTGTTTGCAGACATCGTGGGGTTCACAGGCCTGGCATCCCAGTGCACGGCCCAGGAGTTGGTGAAACTGCTCAACGAACTCTTCGGCAAGTTCGACGAGTTAGCCACGGTAAGCACCGCGTTTGCTCTTGTTCTCTTGATTAAGCCAGAGCACTTCTAAGGTGGTGCTCTGCCCAGCCAGCCTCTGTATCTGCAGTATAGGGGCCTCACTGGTCAGTGGTTCTGCGTTATGTTTAAATTCAGCACCTGCACTTCACACGCTCCACTGGCTCCTTCGAAGAGGCATCCCAATGGAACCGTGTCCTGCAGGCTGCACTTGGCCCTGGCCAGCCTGGCACTGTGCACCTGGGACGATCACAGCCCTCTCTCTACCTGTGCCTCTTCTGGGCTGGCCTTGCTTTGGTGTTGCCCTCTTTCTGAGCTGGAAAATGCCAGCTCCATCTTCCCCCAGTCCCTGCTGAAGCCCCTGCTCCTGGTGATTCTACTGCAGACTCCCCCCTTCCCAGCCCCCACTGGTGCCAGAAATGTTGGGGATGCTCACCAGGCTTCCTGCTGGAATTCTTAACATTTGGCACTTGTGGTAGGTAAGTGTTGCTGAAGGGTGGCACTCTGTCCGTAGGCTCCGTGTCTCTGTGTGAGAGCCCAGTTTATGGTCTTAGGAGTCCTTTGCACTTCTGGAACTTTACCATATAGGCTGAAATCCCCATAGCTCACCCGTCTTGTAGATCTACAATGATTCTGGCTCCCAGTCTGTGTAGGCGGGGGCAGCTTCCACAGCGCACCAGCTATACCTGAGGAGGACTGGGAACCACTGACAGTGGGAGAAAGGGAGCAGAAGGCAGAGGTGGTAACACTTGGGCCTGTAATTTACTGGGGTGCTACTGCCTGTCTTACATCCTAACCATCTTTACCCTTCAAGGTGATGAAGGGGTTTGTGGTGTGGAGTCACATTCTCTTTATCCCAGCCTTTGCCCGGGTGGGGGTGTGGGTGCTGGGAAACTGAGGGACATGGGCAGCCATTTCCTCAGTGAAAGTGGCAGGGAAGGGTTTCTTAGTAAAGTGAGTTGGGCAGCCAGGGCTGGCAGGTCTTGTCAGAGTGGGGTGCAGTGCAGGCTGGGTAAGGAGACTCAGTGGGCATGGGTTAGGTCATTGACAGACACCAGAGAGCAGGTTTAATGTTTGACTGCAGGTGGAGCAGCCCCAAGCGGGGCAGAGATGAGATTAAGGTGGGATGGGTGGCAGCCAGGATTTTACACAGTACTCCCTTATCTTAGTTATGGACGCCATTGTTGTAGTGAACACCAGAACCTAAAGCAAATTGGGGAAGTCAGGGCAGGAACTCACAGCAAGACAGGAACCTAGAGGCAGGAATTGATGCTGAGGACATGGAGAGGTGTTGCTTACTGGCTTACTCCTTATGACTTGCTCAGTCTGTTTTCTTATAGAACAATGAACTATTATTAGTCCAGGGATGGCCCCACCCACAATGGCCCCATTAATCACTAATTAAAAAAATGTCCTACAGCCCCATCTTATGGAGGCATTTTCTCAACTGAGGCTCTCTCCTCTCAGATGACTTTACCTTGTGTCAAGTTGACAGGAAATTATCCCCATGCCCCCTTTATGAGTCTCATGGAATGTTGTTGGAGTGGACATCTCGGAATTGGGTGGTGAAGTTGCTGTCTATCTAAAGATCTTCTGGGAAAGCCCCTCCTGGGGTACCCAAGGACATCCTAGTCAGGGTGCTGTAGGACCCCTAACTGGGAAAGGCTTGTCCTCTGTCTGCTATTTTTGTTGGGCACTGGGTGGCCTGTCTGTGAGGCCTCTGCAGCCTTCTCTTATTGCCCCTGGGTCCTGTCCCTCTGAGTGTGGCTGTGCCTGCCCTCATGTGAGCTTCCCTTGCTCTCTGAGGTGAGTCCCTGTATCTTGCTGTGGTGTAAAGGATTTCTGGTCCCACATGATGGGGGGCTGCTGTGCGGAGAGGAGAGCAGGTGGCACCGACAGCGTGCAGCCCACTAAGGCGAGGGTGGTTCTGCAGCCATTCTGCGTCTGGGTCAGAAAGCACATTTTGACAAGGCGCGGGGTAGCTCTGAGGAGACTGCAGCCCCGAGTGTAGCCAGTGGTATTCCTAGGTCTGTCCCTGACTTCTCCTCTGTACTAGGGAGCTCATTCTTCAGAGGCTTCTGAACAGAGAATCAAAGTTGACCCTACCAGGGCCCCCCTTTTTTCCTTTCTTGTGCCCTGAGTTTTGTGCTGCTTAAAAGTTGTTTTGTGTGTGTTTGGGGGGGTGGGTCCCCCATCCCCATCATGCAGTTGATCCAGGAAGTCCCGAGGCCAGCACCATCCCCAGAGGAGCCTCTTTCAGTCAGCTCCAGGTGTCTGCTCCCTCACTTAGCGACTTCCCAGAACTTGTGTAATCTCCGACAAGGCACCTGCCTTGTGTCCCCTGCCTTCGATGGCGCCTATAGAAGTTGAGGACAATAAAGGTGGAACAGGCTTCAGTGCCTGCTGCATGGGCCTACAGAACCTGGAAGTGCTTTCTGCCCAGCCTGGGCCAGTGTCTTGCAAAGGACAGACAACGCGCTTCTCATGACTACTCTCTTAAGGATTGTCACTTTGGTGTTGCATCTAGAAAAATCCTTATGTAACCAAGAATTATAGGTATTTCCTACCTGTGCCCTCCTCTGGAAATTGTGTACTTTAAGGCTTTCCTTAGGGGCACAGTTTGTGAACTGTGAAACACCTAAACTGTGTTTAGGACAGCGTGAGCCCCGGGACCCTGTCCTCTCTGCTCCTTCTTTGTTAGCGTGCCCGGCACCAGCACCGTTTGCTTTGCAACCTTTGGTTGCACTGTAAGGGCTTCCGTACAGCTTGGTGTTGGACTGTACCCGTGGCCTCCTGCCTGTAGTGTCCCCTGACCACTGATATCAATGCCACTCTTGGGGTGCCCACGGAACCCCTAGTATAGATTACCACCAGGCTGAACTGCCACAGCTCTTGTCCCTGAGGACAGTTTTGCGTAGCAGGACTCACAGTGGTAGGCAGAGACCAGATGTATCACCTTGGATACAGATCCTCAAAATCAAGGTAGAACTTTAAGAGCACGGGCTTTGGATTTGGTTGCACTTGACAATGTGAGTAGGAAATGGTGGCCCAGTTATACCCTGTGACAGGCGGGGCAGGTAACTATGTCGTGTTAAGGAGATGCTTATGATGAAGCCAGTTCCCCAGGGCCTTGTGGTTTCAAAGCCTGTTTCCTAGGATAGAACTGGTACCCATCCTTCAAAGTTCCAAAGGCTGTCTGTCCCTATGAGGGAGGGCTTGCTTACTTGGCCTCTGATCTTTGAGCTGTCTGTGGAGTGGAGGTACAGATGGCTCACCAGTACATCCTGTTGCCTTGTGTGGCTGTTTCCCTCTAAGACAGGTTGTCAATAGGCAAGCCACACGTGTTTCCAAGTCAGCCCTGAGGTCCCTGTTATGACTAAGGAGTCTGGTACACCGCAGAGGCCACATGAATTTATCAAGTGAGACAGTGCCACACCAAGGTGTCTGCTTCAGTGGCATCTGGACTCACTGGCCTGGCCTCTGAGAACGCTAGACCTCTGAGGGTGTCTGCTTATGAAGAGCGTCAGAAAAGCCTGGGCCCATTATCCACGGCTGCAGCAGCCTCCTCCAGAGCTGCTGAGCAAGTGGGGAGCAGACCAGCACTGATGGGAACCAGCATGCTGGCTGCTTGCGTTTGCATTTACTGAGGGCTCTGCTTCCCCGTTGTCACAGCCACTAAGAGCCCTTGTTTTCCCCTTCTGTCCCCTATAACTGTGAGATCTTGGGAACTTGGCCTGGTGAGCACCTGGAGAGAAAGTCAGTGGCAATGTGGCTCACATGTGTGTCTGGGAAGAAGCGCACCTCTGACTGGCTTTTGTGGGCGATGAGGATGTCACGCGGATGTGGGGTATGCTCCCAACTTCAGGTAGCCATTCTGCAATTGCTCAGCCTTGCCAGAGGGTGTGGTAGTCCTTGGAAGGAAAGATCTAGTCATTCCTGTCAGTTCTCCTCCTAGGAGGGGGTTGTAGCTTCCAGGGCCTGACCCAGAACCAATCCTCAGCATCCCAAATACCTGGAAATCTTCATTTTACAAACTGGATTTTGTGGCCAGCATCTGAGTTGAACAACTTGCTAAAGGACATGCTTACATGCAGAATGCTGGGCCTGGGGGTGTTCTCCTATCCCCTACCTGACCCCCTGAATCTTCCTCCTACCTAGCTGAGACTCACCTTCACTGCCCCAAGACTCTGATTTCGTGCACCCCTCCTGGTCCCACAGTCTCCAGGGACCCTGCACAGTTCCTAGTCTTGCTGCCTTTCTTGCATTGCTCATGGGGTAGCCCTGCCACGCCCTACTGGGACAAGAAGGTAGGAGTGCCCCTCCCTCCCACAGCCACCCAAGGAAGGCATAGTGCCTTGTGAGCTGAGTTTGGGAATTTTGGAGGAAGAGATCTGTTGAGAAAAGTCTGTCTTTTGTGGAAGCCTTTGTGAACAAAGGAAAGGTTTAAACAATGCGTATCTTCCTCCACCTGACGCGCACCACTCTCTGAACAAACAGGGGCCAAAGTGTGGCTCTGGCTCCTAAGTGCCTGCCCATGACTGATGTCACAAAAATGGTGCCAGGTGTCAGGCTATGTTTGCTTCTGGGTGCAGGCGACACCCCACCCCTTCCTGCAGCAGCTTTCTCTTGGGGTGTGCCTTCTCCAGAACGAGGCTTGCTCTCTGTTCTGTTCTTGGCTTCTTGTTTCTCGCTGTTCTAGTGGCATGGAGGGCCCTTCAGAAAAAAAATACCTTCTCACTGCCTGGAAGCATCACATTGTCTGGCTCAATCCAAGCTTGTTGTCTCTTCACAGCCCGATGGGCATCTGGGTTATTTCTGGACTAGCTTATTCCAAATAAAGCTGCCGAGAGCATTTGTGTCTAAAACTTTGTGCCGGTGAGTGCTTGCCGTTTTCTTGTGTAAATACGTAGGAGTGGACTGACGACAGAATTTGTTGAATTTACATTTAATATTTTCAGAAATGAATCCAGTACTCTCCAGATTGCCTGTTGCCATCTCATGTCC